AACACACTTAATCCAACAACTAGACCCGACAAGCACAGACTGGGGCTAAATACACAGGATAACGAGACACACCTGACATCAATGAACAATCAACGTGAGGGAGAAACTGGGTCACAGGGAGCACAAGTCTGACAATAGGGAGAGAAATCCTGAAATGTTTTCCTCAAAAAACATAATTTCTTTATGACTGAAGAAAGAAAGACATGAACATCTTGGATGACAAGGGGGTGAGTAAAACACATTAAACAATGGCACAAAAGCTTTGAATAGGTTCCACTTGTATCCAATCTAATCCATAGCCATACTTATTCAGCTAATCCATACTCTTAAAAAAAATAAACTTTAAGGGTTATATATATAACCTTTAAAGAGCTATCTTTTTCTTGATATATTCCAAGACTGTGAACAGTTTCAGATGGATTTGGTCTATGTAATAATAATAATAACATGGTCAGGAGAAAAAATGTGGTACTCAAATACAGTATCTACATTTATTTGCTATGTAATATAATCCTTTAGACTCAGCAGTTCAGATTTAATAATCCCAAATGTTATGCCTTATACGCTGCCATTATTGAATACCATAAATGTTGGATTTATGTGACATAATTTTGCTAAGACCTCCTCATGTAAGACATAATAAAATGAACAATGTGCTATTTTCGTAATGATATATATACAGTATATATATATATATATATATATATATAAGCTTTAAATAGGATTTTTATCCCATATCAAAATTCTTGATGCACTGAAATTTCATAATTTTTGTTACCAATTTCAATATCACAAAAAAGAATACTGCTTTGAATAGGTTCCACTTGTATCCAATTTAATCCATAGCCATACTTATTCAGCTAATCCATACTCTTAAAAAAAATAACCTTTAAGGGTTATATATATAACCTTTAAAGAGCTATCTTTTTCTTAATATATTCCAAGACTGTGAACAGTTTCAGATGGATTTGGTCTATGTAATAATAATAATAACATGGTCAGGAGAAAAAATGTGGTACTCAAATACAGTATCTACATTTATTTGCTATGTAATATAATCCTTTAGACTCAGCAGTTCAGATTTAATAATCCCAAATGTTATGCCTTATACGCTGCCATTATTGAATACCATAATATCATAAAGACTGGTTTCAACTGTATGGCTTCTGTGATTATCTATTAATCTGTTTCACAGTAGTTCAAATACTCCTACGCCGTTCTGTAGAGTTTCTGATTATTTTAATGTAGAGGAGTACTGTTATTACACAGACACACACAAATGCTTTCAGAGCTACCATTTCATTTAAATTTACTTTTTTTTTTATAAATATCAAGGTGCACTTTGTCTTTTGTGTAAGGTTGAAAACCCTGGCATATGCATCTTATATGGTAATATTGGATTTGGAACAGCTAACAAGACTGATGTGAGGCATATAGTTCCTACCACATCCATCTGTGTGTTGAATGTTTGAATACATTTCATTGCAACCACTCAGTTTAGTCAGTCCAGCTATTGACTGAATGTACTTTTTCATCTGGTCTAGTGTTCCCAACACTCTCTTATTACCCACAGCTATCAAATCACAACAACTTTTTGCCTGGTTACAAGAAGCCTATGGCAAGGTCGATATAAAGGACATCTCAGTGAACACATCTTCCTGCGGACATGCTCGATCTAGAGTAGCTCACATTGCCTGAACAAGCCCTCATCTCTCCAGAAGATTGTTACAGTAGGATGTGTTAGAGTTCGGGCAAGTGGATGGTGTACCAGTTATTTTCTTGCTTTTTATGCATTGTCCGAAGTCTTTGCAGAAATAATCAGTCCCGTTGCTTTATGGCTGGTGACAATAGCAGAGCTGGAAAAATAACATGTTTTTTGTCTATATTGAGTATTTTGGTTCTTGCTTGTGTGACCAAAACATTTTTTTTTAGTAATTCTGAAGACCTTGATTACCTGATTCAGGTGTGTTTTTAATTGGGGTAGGAGCTAAACTCTGCAGGACAGTGACCTTCCAAGAGCAAGATTGGACTACCCCGGTATATGTTAGAGGGAATGTTTTAAGAGCTGAGAAATAAACTGACTGAAGAAGGTTGGAGACCAGACACATCCTTGCTGAAAGTAAGGTAGATGTTAAAGTTATTTGATGAGCTGAGCTTGGGGGATCAAAAACCTTGGTCAGATTTGTGGGGTACAAGGTTTTATGCTGCTCCCAGCATTTCTCCTGGAGTTGGTGATGCTATATCTTGCCCATAACTTTTTAGCCTGTCATGTAGGGGAATACATTGTGAACTTTTTTGAAGATATTCTTTGCAGATAGTTTGCCAACACTTGAAAGCAGGGATGGATAAGTCCGGTCTAAGAGGGTCACCTCATTCTGCAGAGTTTAGTTTAATCCCTAATCAAATAAACTTGTCTGTAAAATGTTTGTAATCCTGAAAATGTCGGTTTGATTTATGAGGTGTGTTTGATTAGGTATGAAGCTAAACTCTGCAGGACAGCACCCCTTTAAGACTCTTATGAAATGCACATATTTTTATCATACAGTATAACAGCAGAGCGGTAAATGCCAATAAATAGCCAATGGCTCAATTAGTATCTTAGTTGGAGTAATTCATTTATTTGAGAACCGAGTTCATTTTATTACTTTTGGAGGTGTGTGTAAGGCATCTTATAGGTACATTTTCATAGTTCTTCTTGAAACACATTCTGATGTAGGGCATCCTTACGCTATTTAATAAGTTATTAGTTTTTTTCTGAATCTTACATGTTGAGGGTGTTCAGCATTACTGGAAAACAGTGTTATGAAAATTGAGGGAGAACAGACTTAAGGAAGCGGTGTCTGACAATCTTCATGTTTAGCTGTTGCCTCTTTGCTGTTGATTGAGTGTGTCTCAATGGGAACTTGTGGTTGGATTTGGCTCAGAAGTATGACTTGGTCATGCAGAGATTGTAGAAAGAGATTAGCTCTAGTCACAGTGGTTACAGATGCTGAAATAGTTGGAGGACTAACATCTCCTTCTCTTGTGCTGTACTTGCTTGATGGACCCTGCAGATAGATTCCCTTATATTTGTCCATCAAAGTCAGTACTCCAAACTAACATATGAGAGATACAGGTGCCACCAAATTCTACAAAATGGTAGCACTGACACGTGATTAGCTAGAACTGGCGGAGGGTACAGAAACTAATAATATAGTACATTATTTGTCTCATGGACAGTAAAGCACAGAGTTTGAGTTGGGATTAAGATGTAAATTTACTTAACAACTGTAACATCTGTAAGGAGGTTAAAAACCTTATGTGTACGTGCAATTTGTATAGGGAAATTTTAAATATTCTGGACCATATTCTGTAACCACATTCTATACCACATTTCTGCCAAAAATGCCATGGTTACAGTTAGTGTTACTACAATAAATCTGTGACAAATGTTGGTAATTTGTTGATTGAAAAGCCTTCTAACTAGATCGGGGTGGCGAACGTCGGTCCTGGAGAGCCGCAGCCCTGCAGAGTTTTGCTTCAACTTTAATCAAACACGCCTGACCAAGCTAATCAAGGCCTGAAGGGTTACTAGGAAGCTACAGGCAGGTGAGTTTTTATTAGGGTTGGAGCTGAACTCTGCAGGACTGCGGCTCTCCAGGACCGACGTTCGCCACCCCTGGACTAGATCATGCATGCCACAAAGTTTTTTTCTTGTTTTCAACATTAGTACTGTTTCATCTAGCTTTAAATCACCAAGACATCTGGGTTTTGTAACAAGATCATTCTGTGCTGAATTCAAGTGCCTCTCACTGGATCGCATGATCGAGATCAGTCCGCAAATAAACATACCTGCTCTGAGTTCAAATGAGTACCACTGTTTCATTTCCACTTTTGAAGCATTTGCCGTTTGATGTTTCTCATCAAAAATAGCAGCGCAAAATCAAAGAGAGTTGGGCAACTTTGGAGCTAACGAAATGCCAACAAAACAGTACGAAAAAGGTACGACCATTTAGTCGCAGTTTGGAGCAATGCAATGTCACACCCATGTGTAATCAATCAGTGACTTCAATCAATTATTTTTTCTACACTTATACTTTTTTTATTATTAGACATTTATACTTGTAGCATTGGTCAGTTAAAGAACAACAATGCATTACTAAAAAAAAGAAAAAAGCCTTGTTCATAACACTGAATGCAATTTTTCTAATTTGCAAATGAAGCACTTGCTTGTTAGCAGCTTATTATATTAGCACACCCTTATGCACTATTGAAACGATAAGTATGAACCATGGGAAATTGGGCACACAACAACGACATGAAAATGTTGCCTATTTCTTGAACCCTTCCCCCTTCCTCCTCCTTCAAGAACAACAAACCATTTACTCATTCACACTGTCTCCTAGCATCAGACTTGAATCAAAGGTTGAAGAGTTCTCTTCTGCTTACATTTTGATTCAACTGTGCTAATGGTCCTGAGCAGTGGCCCAGTTTGCTGTTTGACAAGGTTGTCAACTGGTCAGGTCTTGCACTCCTCCCACTTGTCAGATCCTTTCAGCTAACATATCACCCCACCTATTTATTCCAGACAGATGCTGCTCTGACATATGACGCAGTCCACATCGTGTCGGTTTCTTACCAGCATGCGCCGCAGATGACTGTCAACTCATTGCAGTGTCATCGCCACAAACCCTGGAGGTTCGGAGGACGCTTCATGAGTTTCATTAAAGAGGTAATGACAAACGCTCATGGCACTGCTGTCACAAACACTTCTGCTCTCCAGAGACAAGATAATATATATAAGATATTGTTTAAATTACAGAGTATCAGCTTCTCTGCTGCTCACTTGTCATTGATGCCTGTTTAAGCTCATTCCAAGTGGTTCTCTTTTTATTTTTGATTTAAACCGCATTCATTGTATACGGTGACCCCCAAAAAGTATCTGCACACTTTAGCGATGATTGCAAAATTTTCAACTGACTATTTGAATGAATATTTAAGGATTTTCAATATTTAAATGTTCATTTTAAAGAAAGTTAGCACAAGCACACTTTTAAAGTTCGGTATGATATCACACAATTTAAAGACATACAAAGCATGCATAACAGTTGCTGAAATTAAATTTATATTTATTGTATATCATATTTACTAAATTATACAATTAAAAATGGAATTAAAGATGGCAATTTGATTCTGTACTTTTTATAGTAGGCTATAGTAATACATATTTATTTTAATTTTTTTTCAGGTAGCGCAAATTTCACACATAGCACACAGTGAATATGACATGAATGCGCCGTAGCAGCAAACTGTAGCCCAGCATAGTTCGAAATCAAAGTTTAAAGTTTGTCAATCACAAAATTTTTAGTGATAGCACAACTCTCCTGTCAGTGTGCAATTTTCTCAGTGCTGTCAAAATAAAAGTGCCACATGCTGTCAAATATCAGCTAAACAGAAAAAAAGACTGGTCAATGATGGTAATAATAATAATTAAAAAAAACACTACTTTTTTATATTTAGGGTCCCTGGCCAGGCGTCCCTGAGTCTGTAAATATTGTAAATGTATGTAAGGCAATGCCATTGCTAAATTTTTATGTTTCCAGATACTTTTTTTTATTGTCTTTAAACAGTACACTATATATGTGTGGTACCTGTGGTATCTTTCTGTGAAATAAATAACACTCGTTCTGATGTTTTGTTATCAGTGACATTCCTATAATTTTAATTTTGACCTAAATGTCCAAATACATTTACCAATTAGTCATTAGTAAATACTTTTACTACTGATAAATACCGCATCATTATTCAGCGGCGATCTTTGGTTTTAATGGTGAATCTTACCTGATAAACGATCACCATTCACCATCCATTTTAATTGCCTCATTTAAGTGCAGTAGATAAGTTGTTTGCAGAAAGTTTGCATTCGTACTGTTCTGGCCCTGCACTACTAAACTCACAGTGTCCCACTTTCTCATCACCGTGTGCTTCGCACGCAAATGTGCTCGTCATAATCAGCTCTTATTTCAGCTCACAAGAGAGACTTTGATTGGGACTCATAATAGGCAGATTAGAGTTGTTGAACACAGCTCTGTGGAGCGGCGTGTATGAGAGAAGAGCAAAATGAGGGCCGTGGAGTTGGCGTGGAGAGCATTGTCTCTCTTTGGCATAGCAGAGAACACGCGTTCTTGTGAAATGTCCTCGCTCCTGAACAAGAACGGAGGTGTTTCATTTGGAAGAGGTTATGGAGAGAGCTGGAGATCAGTGTGTGTTGTTTGGGGGAGGAGCTCTATGCTTAGGGGACGAGGGAGGAATGGAGAGGAGGAGTTGCAATGTATTTTTTTTTGGTTTCTCTAGAGATTGTTGCAAGTGAGATGATCGTTAATTAGGACGGAGGTCTTGGGGGAAGATGTGTCTGAGGCGCTGGGATGTAAAATGTAATTAAAAAGGAAATAGAAGCTGGGTGTGTGTGTGCTTATGAGGATGTGTATTAGAGGGTGCGTGTATGGAAAGCACAATTATGTGTACCATTGGACGAGAATTGAAGAACTGACTCTATTTCAATTCATGAATTTGAATGGATTTGGACACACACTGCAGACTGTTGAATTGGAATTGGAATTAAAGCTTATTTTATTTCCGCTGGTTGCCATTGCAACATTTCCCTTTTTTTTTTTATTTAGTTTAACTCACTGTGCTAAAATAACTCAAAAATAGTAAAAACTATGTAGACGTATTGAACTAATAAAAATGATAAACACAACATAATTACTAAAACTGAAATTACAATGAAAATGGAAAATAAATAAAAAATAATAAATACAAAATAATAATAACAACTATAATAGTGTATCAGTGATACTAAAATAACATGTACTGAACTGCAATTCAACAGTCACACAACAAATTAATTTAATTAGTCCAACGAAACATAAACAATTACAACATACATCATCTAATGTTTCCTATTTTTCCCTAATATATAGAATACAATTTCCTCAACTGGTTTGATATATTTCTGTAATGCTGTCAAAACATTTAACATGCACAACATCACAAAATAGCAATTATATATTTGTGATTATTCATAGAATAAATATTGACAAGATTGACAAAATGTTAACTATTTAAGTTTGATGATAATAAACAAGAGTATCAGGAAATTGTATTTTCCCCTGTACTGTCAATTCTAGATAAGTACTTTATTTTGGCTCATTTTGAAGACTTTGGGGTTGAATAGAGCATGCATTAAATTAATATGTTAATGTAGTACATATAATGAAAGCAAATTCAATTCTAATTGTAGGTGGCATTTCAGTATTTTCTGAAAATGTGCCATAAATTATATAACGTAACATGCATGATTTAGCTCAATTTAAGGTGTTTTTTTTTAAGCTGCATTATGGTAGCTATGGTACTACGGTACTATTGTAGCCCCTCAAACAAATTACTAAAAAATAACTTCTTTTTTTTTTTTGTACATTGTACTCCAGTTATGCCTCCTTTGTTGATGTAAATTAAATTCAAATTGGGGGATTTAATTGGGATTGAAATAGCATTCTCAATTAAATTCTGAATATTGCACAACCCTGGTGTCTTTAAATTATCAAACATCTCTGTCTGTTCTTTCAAGTCTCATTGGGATGGCCTGACGGGACGGCTGTGCTTTAACAGAACTACAGGTCTGCGCACCGACTTTGATCTTGACATTGTGAGTCTTAAGGAGGATGGCCTTCAAAAGGTAAGCCACCACACAAACACATAACAACTGTCTCATATCAGTCACAACATAACTCACAAACAAAGCACATATAGGATAATAATGCTTTTGCTATGTCTCCGTGCTTTGTTGCATAGTAGGAGGGATACAATTATCAAAATCGGCTTTCTTCCGCTACTGCTTGCCTGTTAAACAACTCACTTTTGTTTTGCATAGTCGATTAAGCCAGAAACATTCATGCTGCCAAAATGTGTCATTGCAAAGGATTGTTTCTCCCCTCAAATAACCTTCTGATCTCACAGTCTAGCATACTGAAACCTCTTGTACGTTGTCTCATTTGGTCACCATTGCTGTTGCTTACGTTTAATTACCTCCTAACAAGGAAGTAAATGAGGTGTTTAAACATAAGCATAAGTAAGTGGATCATAAAGCAAATTGGATTAGTGTACAAAGTACTGTTAATTACAAGCCTCCGTTAATGACCGGCTGAAGTTACACATAGCATGCTTTTGTGCAGTCATGAAGTATGTAAATATAACTGCATTCATCTAATTTTTTAGTTGTTGGATTTTCATTTAGAAGTTTGACTGTCATACTGTAGAAACAAAATTCGAATTACGCAAACACTGTTAGAGAAGCCATCAATGTACTAAACTGCACCACAGAGCTGCACAATAATGGTCAAGCATGGTTCTTGTGCTCAAAAATAAATAAATAAATAAATATATATATATATATATATATATATATAGATTTATCGTGAAGCCCTAATATATATATATATATATATATATATATATATATATAGGGAGATTTAAACACTTGACATCTGGCAACCGCAACCATGAAAGCATGTGAAGGTTTGTTACCAATGTATGACAATGCAATTGCCAAATTAAAATGAAACATTTTCAGGATAAATAACTGAAACTGCGTGAAAGAAAACAGACTTGCTGTGTTACATTTTTATTTGAGCAGAATATCTCAGTAAATATAGCTAAACTCCAGCTTACATGTTTGCCTGTATTTTCAGCACATCACATATTTTTCCATAATGTAGAGAGAGCTTATGCCAGGTTGAGAAGTTTAAGTAAACCACAGGGCAGAAAATGTATCGATTTAAGGGAGAAACAACAACAACAACACTGATTTGGGGATTTAAGTACATCTGGCAACCTCAATCATGAAAGTTGCACTAAAAACCAACTGAAAATATCACCAGCTCGAATTCAGTAGCACACACACACAACATGATAAAACCCATAATTATGTAGGGACATCTAATGTAATTCCCAGTAACATGCACATATTTCTCTTAGTAGACCACATATTTAACTTTTCTAGAAGTAGATATTCAGAAAAAAATGGATATTAGTCTGCATCTTAGATTGGAATAAGCAGGTTGAAAAATCTGTTCATTTTGAGAATGTTAATAAATAATTGTGCCTTCGCCTGATAATCACTTTTAATGAATTGAGTTAATTGCAGTCAATTTGCAATAATGGAACATCATTATATAAAGTGGCGTAGCATATCATCTGAAACGTGCATCACCTTGAATTTGCACAATCTATAACTAATACATGTGTCAAGCCATATGCATATGTTAGGCTCTGCATCATGTGAGCGGTGTTATCGGGTGATTTTTGCACCTGCGTGACTGAGATTTGCCGCTCTTGTGGCTTTATGAATATGAGAGCAGTTGTGGTGTCGCAGGAGGGGGCAGCGCCACACATCCTCAGACAGAGATGGATACAGACAGCTATGAGGCCATTTGCAGTAATGATTTGTTGAGGAGTGACTGAACAATATGCAGGACTTCTTTTTTTCTCGCTGCAGGGGATTGTTTGTGCAAACTAGCTTAATTTGCCCAGATTCGCTGATATTAGAGGGAATATTCACAGTACAGCTATTTCAACTCCTCTGCTGTCTGCATTTTACTGTGCATATGTTTGCTCTGTGTTTGTACCTTAATTAATTGTAAGCGTGTTTTTTTTCTAATATCCCTTGAGGCAGATAGAACACTCCAGCTGAAATAGACTAATTGATTGATAATCAACTGGATTGGTCCCACTGCAGAGTTAAACAAATTAGCTTGCAAGATAATACTCAGCAATATCTCATCTTGAGCGTAGTGTTATGATATATTTGAATTGCTTGGTTAAGGTACAACCAATTTAATATACACAACTGGTCAAAAATTGGAATAATTAAGATTGTATAGACATTTTTTGACAGAAGCCCCTTATGCTTACCAAGGCTGCATTTATTTGATCATAAATACAGTAAAACAATAATATTCAGAAATATTATTACAGTTTAAAATGTTTTCTATTTTAATATATTTAAAATATTATTTATTCCTGTGATGCAACACTGAATTTTCAGCATCATTACTCCAGTCATCATCATCATCATCATAGTATTATTATTATTGTTGTTGTTATTGTTGTTGTTGTTATTTAAAAATACAAAAATGAAACAAATGTATTCAGCAGGGACACATTAAATAGATCAAAAGTGACAGCAAAGACATTCACAATGTTACAAAATAATTATTTATTTTTTTTATATACATTTTTTATACATTTATAAATGTTGTTATTTTAGAATGATTTCTGAAGGATCATATCACACCAAAGACTGAAGTAGTGATGCTGAAAATTCAGCTTTACCATCACAGGAATAAATTATGTTTGACAATGTATTCAAATTGAAAATAATTTATTTATTTATTTATTTGTTTATTTATTCCCTTGTTTGTTTGTTTCACAATATTACACAATATCAGCATAATACGGCTACATGAAAATGACACTTTGGATATACTATATACAGATATAGTGTGTGCGTGTGTGTGTTTGTTTTGTTTGTTTGTTTGTTTGTTTGTTTGTTTGTTTGTTTGTTTGTTTGTTTGTTTGTTTGTTTGTTTGTTTGTTTGTTTGTTTGTTTGTTTGTTTGTTTGTTTGTTTGTTTGTTTGTTTGTTTGTTTGTTTGTTTGTTTGTTTGTTTCAAATGACTCTCACAATATTCCAAATTAAATTGCTAAAGATACAAAGAATAAAAAAGAAGAAATAATATTTAAAGACGTCAAATGTATTATTAAATACACACAGGACAGCATACCTGGAAATCTTAGATATTTTGTCTATTATTATTGTCAAAGGATGAACAGCTAGTTCTTTTAAGTACAACAACTCAGCATTGTAAGAAACTTAAACACCTTTTGTCTTTCCATACTGGTTTAGTATAAACGTATTTATATTTTAGAAGAATATACACAAAGGAATAAGGATGGTTAAAACTGAAAGGCCAAAAACACTTTTTGCAAGAACGCAAATGAACATAGCCTCAAACATTTGGTTATTAGCTTCTAGCCATGCAAGACTGAATTCACACATCATTGCAAAACTTGTCGACATGCAATTCATACCAGAACACAAGTATGTGCGGCGACCTATTCACTATAATTCATAAATTTTTACAGTGCAAACAGATGTTTGTTTGTTTATTTGTTTATCAATTTTAAAAATGAACTAACAAATGACTCGTTTATAGTTTATGCTACATATTAAACTGGAATAGGATTATTTAATCACAATCAATCAATATATCAATACAAAACACCATTACAATGCTATCAGATTGTAATTCATCCAGTTCTGCCTTTTCCTTTGTTCAACATTTTGTTTTTGCAAAATTGAATTGAAAAGCAATCTCCTTTGGTGGAATTGTCCTTCCTCTATGTTAATGTATTCAGAGTGTATGCAAGGGCCTAGGTACTCATGAGCCCGAGTACAGACCTATTTTCATAAAAACAGAAGAGCCAATCAACTAATGCTTCTGGATGAGCTCAGCACAGTGCTGCTAATGCAGTCAGATGGGCTATTGCGATGTGGATGGGTCACACAGGTAAGTAAAACATGCTCTGACTACATGAATTTCATCTTTTCTAGGTGGGGAAGTGGAGTGCATCTGGGGGGCTGAACATCACCGAGGTCCCCAGGCAGAACGGCATGAACATCACTGACTCGCTTTCCAACCGCTCTCTGGTCATCACCACCATCCTGGTAAGGTCATTGAGATGCGTGTGTGTGAAGGAGAGCGCTCTTCTGTCTCCTGCTTTATCATTCTATGTCTAATTTACTCTTTCTCCAAATTTCACTTTCTTTTCTAGTGTGCTTTACCTTGTTTCAGGTCAGCATATGGGCTGCTTTTCAAGTAATGAAACGCACATGCTCCATATTCTCATTTCCTGTCACAGAAGAGCCAAATAGCTCTGTCCCTTTCAGTGTCTCAGTCCTTGAAATAAATCGACCTGGCTGAATCAACAACACAAGATGTCTTCCCCTGTTTGAAATCAAGTTTGAGCCTCAACCATCTCCCCTGACTGCTTTAGTAAGCAGAATAACAATTCTGAATTGGAGATGGTACCGACTCTCAACACATTTTGGCCATTTGAATTTGGAAATTAAACTAGAGTAGAGTTAATCATAATGAAATTCTGTCATGACAACTCTCAGAGTTCATCATGGTAATATACATGGCAATGTTAATGTGTTTGGCCTTGGTGGAACAGATCTGCTACACTGCTGCTACTGCGGCAGAGAAAGTATCGAGACTTGCAACTGCTAATACATCCACAGATACGCTGCTGTGAGCATGTAAGAAATATTGCTGCTGCATATATAGCATATGAAACAACCTCATACATAACATACATGAAATTACCCCATATACAGGTGGAGCTGGGGAAGGTGGAGGGGTTCTAAAGTGTGCTGCAACTGCTACAGCAAGCACTAGCCGAGTGTTTGAATGTTGAGCAGCAAGCTCATTGGCTGCTGGTGTGAAAAGAAACCAGCTGACACCAGCAAATCAGCTGCACCATGTGAATAATGATGTGATTGTATCAGATTGAGTTAGAACCTATCGGCCTGCACCATCTAGAGTTTCATGACAGAACTTTGTATTAAAGGCAGGGTAGGTGATTTGGTTCACAAACATTTTTGTTATGCTGGTTGAAAATCTCTTCACATCCCTATAGCAATCACTAAGTTAAGTGGTCTAAATTTATTTATATTGTCTGTGGAAGGCATAGGACCATAAAATATTTGTCCAATCAAAATGTTTTCAAAATAATCTAAATAATCTATCTGTATTTATGTTCTACTGTTAGTGTTATCTGTATGCACCAAGGGTCTGAGAGTAAAGCAATTTCAATTCTCTGTGTGTATGTGCTGTACATGTGGAAGAATTGACAATAAAGCAGACTTGAGACTTGAGATGTTCGGTCCGGAGTTTACGATAGGCTGTCCTGTCTGCCTGTCAAAATATGTATTTGCATACTTCTGCCCAACGTGTTTGTGCAGACATGATACGTCATCAGCACGTTCCAGCAAGAATGAAAGCATTATTATTGTAATATTATGCGCTTTGTACTGTAATGTTTTCTCACCAGTGAATGAGACATGAGGTAATCTGACAGCGTTGCATTTGCTTTGCACAGTGATTATGCAGGGAGGGTGGGGATCTTGGTTTCAAAGCTAGCTTGCTATTGCTAGCCTTTCCGAAATCGCCTACCCTACCGTTAATGTTTTTTTTTCCGTACAAATTTTGCCACATTTTTGCTTGTCTCTAGTCGGTTTAGACCCAGTTGCTACTACTTGCAATGTGCTTCACCAAACTACTCTCATAAAAGCAGGCCACATAGTAAAAAACTGTTTGCAGAGGATATCTGCATGCTTTAAAAACACAGCAGAATGGAACAAAGCACACATATCTCGAGATATTAAATCTTATGGTGCAAAACGCTGAAGAAAAATAAAAGGTATCAGTGAAAAAATTGAGTATGCATGCACTGTCATACATGATTTTATTTTTTTTTTTTAAGTTAGATAAATAGTGTTTCAGTTTTTCGACTTAATAATTTCATGTTTAGTTCAGTGAGTTACTTTCCATTTCTTTGTAATTGAAATTTTGTGAAAATTGTTTCTACACTGCTTTTTTATTTTTATTTTATTTTTATTTTTTTGACTGCATAATTATGCAAATTAAGCATAATTTACTGTCATTACTGGACTAAGAACATGCAACATATAAAAAGGGCATTGTAAAACTTTGTTAATTTCAATTAAATTGATTAATCAATCTACTTAAGACGCAATTCTTTTGATTGAAAATTTTGACTGACATCCTTAAAAATAAGTAATAAACTTCAATGGCTAACCATTGAACAGGTACCTACATTTTTTATTTTTTTTAATCAACGAATTCACTTATTGGATAATGCCACTGACCCACTCCAATTTGATTTCCCTCCATAGGATATTTTCAGAGATTTACTATAGACATGACCTTAACTTGTTACTGTTACAAGCAGATGCATGCTGGGTGAAATTCTGCTTTACCCAACATGCACTGTCATACATGATTTTATTTTTTTTTTTTAAGTTAGATAAATAGTGTTTCAGTTTTTCGACTTAATAATTTCATGTTTAGTTCAGTGAGTTACTTTCCATTTCTTTGTAATTGAAATTTAGTGAAAATTGTTTCTACACTGCTTTTTTATTTTTATTTTATTTTTATTTTTTTGACTGCATAATTATGCAAATTAAGCATAATTTACTGTCATTACTGGACTGAGAACATGCAACATATAAAAAGGGCATTGTAAAACTAAGTTGTTAATTTCAATTAAATTGATTAATCAATCTACTTAAGATGCAATTATTTTGATTGAAAATTATGACTGACATCCTTAAAAATAAGTAATAAACTTCAATGGCTAACCATTGCACAGGTACCTACATTTTTTTTTTTTTAAATCAACAAATTCACTTATTGGATAATGCCACTGACCCACTCCAATTTGATTTCCCTCCATAGGATATTTTCAGAGATTTACTATAGACATGACCTTAACTTGTTACTGTTACAAGCAGATGCATGCTGGGTGAAATTCTGCTTTACCCAATGTAATTTGCCAGATAATAGCACAAATTACACATCTTAAAATAAGTGTGTGCCCATTCAACATTGCGTTCTCACAGATGCCCGGAGGGCTGCCTTTACAGATGTCGCAGGAATGTTTCAGGATTTTGTGGTACTGGCAACAGCCTCTGTGGACTTATTTTGGACAGACAGATAAGTTATCAACAGGGATAAACACTGTCATTAAATTCGGAATGAACTGCAAGGCTATAATTATGTGTTAAGTTCTTGATACGATATAATCAGTTATTTTCTATTGTACCAAGCAGTGGTCCTGGGTTTTGTTATCTAAAGATAGTAACCAAGTATTTATTAAAGGGGTCATGTTATGCTGCTAAAAATAACATTATTTTGTGTATTTGGTGTAATGGAATGTGTTTATGCAGTTTACGGTTAAAAAAACACATTATTTTCCACATACTGTACATTATTCTTTCTCCTCTATGCCCCGCCTTTCTGAAACGCGTCGATTTTTACAAAGCTCATCGGTCTGAAAAGCGAAGTGTGCTCTGATTGGCCAGCTATCCAGTGCGTTGTGATTTGCCGAATACCTCAAGCGTGTGACGGAAATGTTACGCCCCTACCATATTGTGATGCCTTGTTCGGCCAGAGCGAAGAGACAAAAACATTAAAACCCATTATAAACGAGACATTTGTTGCATCCAGTGGGGACATAATTATGGATTATAATGACTTATACTGTCTTTTTACGTGTTGC